CAAACGAGATTGCTGTTTGATGATGTTTTAACTGAAAACATTTTCATTGTTTTTCGTCCGTTCAGTTATTTAAATTATGTTATTATTCACTTACTTTGCGTGGTTGTAATTGCGGTAGTTCGTTCAATACTATATACTTGTACTGGGAGAGTTGTCGTGACATCTATTTTACTTGTTGTATATGTAGTTGTTATTATTGTTGTTGGCTGCGTGTTATTTTAGTTGTGTTGTCTGTATTGGGCGAGTTGTTTCGGCCAGAAACTTACCAGTTGTGGGCGAGATGACTTGAAAGCAAGATGTCAAACGAATATTGCTTGATGAATTACTCCAGCAAACTGGATTGAGTCTTGAATTGACTTTAGTCGCTGAATGATAAGATTTATCATAATCAAACGCATAATTTACAATATTCGAGTGTATTAGTACGTTTAGTACTCGGCTGAATTTACATTTTAATGCTATGTTTACAATATATATTCCTCAATTCGTACCTGCATCGTATTCACAAATGTAGGGAAATGTAGAAGCACAATTCACGTCTTTGATAAGTCCATAATTGCCCTTTGGATGATTTTTAGCTATTGCAGCACAATAACGATCATAAGGGCCCTTATTATTTGGCTCTTTAGGCTGCCATTTGCTGAAAATCGTCAAATTTCGTCCACTTGTCCATGTCCAACCTGCTTTTCGTTTGTCCTCTAATGAACTGTACTTTTCCAATTCTTTCCTTGCAATGCTTAATCCTATAAGCCATTCGTTGTGTTCATTTGCTGTAGAATTTATTTTCTGTATCTCACTCGTTATGAAATTCCATTCATCTTCTGTTTCCATGGACACTAATGTCCCATTTCTTGTTTTGCAGTCTTCTTTGCTTTCTTGCCAGCGGTATTTGTTCGTATCATGAAACGTGTAGCACGAACAGTGTGCTAAAATTAGAAACATATATCGTAGTTATTATGTGCAATCATACACCTTTGATACTCAAAGCGTATAATTTTTTTTTATATAAAGAAAGGCCGGCTGGACGCGAGCTAAATGATTAAATGATGACACTTCTGTTTGTACACATGTTCCCGCATGTTATGCTCTTTACTCTCTGACGAATGATTAACGTCCGAAACGCCAGTAATTTATTTCACCTATTTTTTTTTTTTTTTTTTTTTTTTTGAAACGTGTAACACGAACAGTTTGCTAAAATTAGAAACATATCATAGTTAAGCATAAACTGCCTAGTATCTGAAATGTTGACATTTCCAATGTTCTCATTTCTATGTTGAATTATAAAAATATCCAATTTCCCTTCGAGAAAAATGGTCTCGAATGTCATGTGTGCTTTACTGAAGAAACGATCTTTGAAAATTTAAAATCAATTTTTTTAGGTTTACATACAAATTATTAACAAACATCACATCCACATTATAAATGAATAATGATTTTAACTTAAGGGAATATTTTGTGGTGATTACTGTAGCTTCTGCAGTTGAGTTGTTTCTGTAGGACAACAAATATAAAAATATCCCTTTAAAAAGTTATGTTTTATAATGAGATTTATAGTCCATCAGTGCTCATTAATAATATGAATACTTACCTGAGCATGAGATAAGCCACAGCTTCCCTTGTAGCAACAAAATGCAAAGCAACGCTCTAGTCAAACCCATCTCCATTGCTTGCAAARCAMTAATACTGAATATATCAATTCTTTTTATCTTCAAAGTCACTTGACGAACCGTAGAAGCATKTCRCAATGAGAATTCTTTCACTTTTCAAGTAATTGAAAGTCGTATATTGCATCACAAATCACTTAATGCATGCATGGATATRAATAGAAACATGGGGAAGTTCATTCTTGTCCACTGATCGGAATTGCTGAATTGTGATTTAAGAGAATTGTGAATAAGGCAATGTTTCATATCAGAAAAACCCTAGCACGCTCGTGTTCGAAAATACATCGATGTCAGCTGAGAATTCCATTCAGCCCGTGATTCGAAACCTATCTCGTGTTCTACCTAGAAACCCGTGTGTGTGTTCCTAAATAGTGATTTCCAATCAACTGCAAATTTGTTCTTCGGTGTTATTGRTGGAGAGTCGACCACGTGACCGATAGTGCCCGCCGGGGATGGGTAGTATCAGTGCATAAAGCTCGCCGCTGTAAAATATTTTGTTGTTGATTAATAAAAACAATAAAGCAGTTGAAATCTCGTGTATTTTGCTGTGATAGTTGCCCTTAAAAACTGGATGTTCTTCGAAGCCTTATAGTCGCCTTCGAATTGCGTTCTCGGGCGAACTGTCAACAAATACTTGTTTTTCAGAACATCCAGAGTTTCCTCGTGCAACTGTCACAGCACATAATCTCCTCGATTCAACTACTGAAATGTCTTCTAATGCCTAAATAAAGCAATTGAGTCAAAGACTACTAAAGTGTATTTATAGTCTAGAATCTGTTTTACGAGTTTATGGTCTTCACAATACTAACTTTACAATGAAACCTTTGTTTCCAATTCGCATTGTCTTGATGTCGTCTAATAAACATGCAATTTTATCGCTTCTTATATCAGCCATTTTGATTCGTCACGTGACTTCCTATTCTATGGAAATTGAAATATTTCCTTCAGTTCAATGCTATGTCGCTGTTCTTTTGTTAACGTCTCTGGAAAAATACCTTTTAAACTCTGAAAAAGGTGATATTTTTACTCTACAAACCAAAGACTGGGTAGATAAAGATTCAAATAAGTATTTGTTCGACATGAGAGTTGTTTTGGCTCGAGTTTTACTGTGTATTTTGATGTTAGTAGTTGCTATTAAACCACAGTAGTAATGATAATGGGCACTATTATTTGGCTCGTTACGCTGCCATTTGCTGTAAATCGTCAGGGGTCGTCCGCTAGTCCATCTCCAATCTGCTTTGCGTTTTTCCTCTAATGAACTGTACTTTTGCAATTTTTTACTGGCAATGCTTAATCCTATAAACCATTCCTTGCTTTTATTTTCTGTAAAGTTTATTTTCTTTATCTCATTGGTTATAAAGTTCCATTCATCTTCTGTTTCCATGGATACCAATGTCCCATTTCTTGTTTTGCAGTCTGCCTTGCCTTCTGCCCAGCTGCTTCTGTTCGTATCATGAAACGTGTAACACGAACAGCGTGCTAAAATTAGAAAATAATCGTAAGAAAGACTGGACGCGAGCTAATGAA